CCCAGGCTTCTCTCTCTGTGATTTGTTGTCTACAGTATTCAGGCTGCACATTGCCCTTTATGAAAAGGGGTTGACAATTTGAATGAAGAAATCCACAGTCTTAATTCTCCAAGAAATCTACCATCACTCATCAGGGTACCCAGAAACTGTTGTGAAAAAAATTAATATCTACCTCAAATCATTGAGGCAAGCAGCAATTACCTCTGTGGTTACTAGCCTAAACATCAATTAACTTTTGCCTATTAGACTCCTACTACCTTAATTTGTGCTATTTCTCTCTTTATACATACTGACTTTAAATTGAGAAGTGTGATGGGGGAAAGCGGCCATGTCCTGCCAACATCTCTACCCCTGCAGGCTAAGATACAATGTAAAATAGCTCATCTAATGCTAAATATAAATACAAATAAATACAGACATACATATATATATGTATGTATGTGTGTGTATATATATATATATATATCCATGCTACATAATAAAACCCTAATATGCAAATTGACCAAATGGCAGAAGGACAGATCGCTATGATGCACACTGACCACCAGAGGGCAGACACTCAACACAGGAGCTGCCCCCGATTGCCCCCCCCCCCCCCCCCCGGGAGGTGACCAGCAGCAGAGATCCGGGGGCAGGGCTGACAGTGGTGATGGGGGGGGGGGGAGGTCCGGCCATCAGGTGGCACCAGGCTGCAAGCCAAGGTGGGTGCCAACGCCCCCCCCATCACCCCACCCACCGGTTGCTCCACAGAAGGCCCTGATCGCCGGCCAGGCCTAGGAACTCTACCCTATATATTGGGAACAGTCTCTTAGATTTAAAAATTAAAACCTGGCAAGGCTACTCTAACACTGAAAAAAACAGGATGATGCAGTGATGACATGCATGGACCCTGGCTTGCACATCTTGTGGTCAGCCCTGATTCTGACACTTATAACTGTGTGACAAAGCCAATTACTTACTTCTCTCTGCTTCAGTTTTTCTACCCATAAGATGGGGAAAATGGAACTACTGCCTCAGAAGGATCATGTTATGTACTACTTTTTATAATCAGGGCTAAAAAATGCAGCTGCCCATACAAGAGCAAGATGCCTTTCACCTGTATGAAAAGTATGGTCACTGGTGCATGCAGCATCCCGGATTGCGAGAGGGATTCCGACTGCCAGTTTAGGCCTGACATCCCCCGAGGGGTCCTGGATTGCGAGAAGATGCAGGTCGGGCTGAGTGACTGCCCCCCCCCCCCCGCCTCGTGCACGAATTTCGTGCACCAGGCCTCTAATCCTATCTAATAAAAGAGAAACATGGTAATTAGTCGTACGGCCGCTACCCTTCCCATTGGCTAATCAGGGAGATATGCAAATTAACTGCCAACCAAGATGGCGGCCGGCAGCCAGGCAGCTGACGCGAATAGGGAGGCTTGCTTGCTTCAGTGACGGAGGAAGCCAAGCTTCCCCGCCTGCCTTGCCGGCCTCTCAGCTGCTCTCTAAGAAACACTGTAACAAATATAGAAGCTAAACAAAACCCCGGGCTTCAGCCAGCAGGACTGCAACATTGTTTCAAATACAGAAGGTAAACAAAGGCCAGAAACCTGCTTTCAGCAGCGGAGGTCTCATAGCAGGAGCCGAGTCTCAGAGCTAAAGCTGGCCCAGAATTTAAAAAAAAGAAAAAAAGGACAGGTTGGGAGCTTCAGTCACCCGCCAGCCTGAAAACGGCCCTCAGCCCCTCACCCAGGCTG